TTGTCCCAGTGGTCGGCAAACTGCGGCCCCTTGAGTGTGGCCACGAAGTTTCAATCGCACTGTACGTGCGTGCCTGCACATGGTATTTTGTGGAAGAGCCACACTCAAGAGGCCGCAGTTTGCCGACCACGGTCCTAGGCAAACCATCCATGCCGCAGTGTTCTCATCCATGAATTAATGGGGCAATTTCTGGCATTGTTTCCTGTCAAACATACAGGAGGTGCTTGATAATCTATGACTGCACAAGAAATAGGTAATTTCAAAGACATTTCTCAACTTTTTATCATATTTAACTCAATCCACTTCTGTGAAAAGTAGTCAACCAGCAAAATAAAATGCAAATTAACCAGGTCTCCTGTTCCACCACTATTCTTGGGGCGGTCTGGGAATAGAAGAAACCAGCACTGGGAGGTGCTGCTAGAAAAAGGGGGCAATGAAAATACAGTGATATAATAAGCACCTTTATCTGTAAAGAACTAAATTAAAAACCAGAAGGATCCCTGCCCCCAAATGGCCAAATGGACCATGAACTAAAGAAGAAAAAGGCAGTATTTTATATGACCAATTCCTATCCAGAACTCTTGACTTTTTGAAAAATGTCAATAAAATTGGTTTCTCAAATGAGAATTTAATATTACTCAGGGCATCTCCCAAGAAGTGGCTAACATTAAGATTCTTTTACTCAGACTTACTGCAAGAAGAAATGTGTGGGATGAGTGTGCAATAATGTAAGATAAAGGTGGAGAAGGGATTGTGGAGATGGTCATCTCTGGAGATCAACCCAGAGAATCCAATGTTTCATGTGAGGCAACTTCTGGGGTCCTCTACGTTAAACATCCTTACAAAGGGAAATTTTCTTCATTTCTTTATACTTGCCTTAATTTTTTCTATTATTTCTGGCCCATCCCTATTGGCCATTCCTTTCCCTTTTGAAACTTAAACTTCTCAAAGGAAACAAACATTTAAACCTTTATGGTAAGAAATGAAAAGAGCCTAACATGAAACTCTGAAGTCTAAAATTAAAAGTAAAACAAAGAATGCTCAGTGACCTTTTTGTCGGAGACTCACATGAAGAAATGTCATGGTACATTGATCAAACTTTTATTCATTTGCATTTTCGAGATGTTGCATTTATACCACATGACACTCAACAAATTACAATACAATATGACATTCTGCACAAATCATTTCTAGTTTCTTCTTCGGCTGTGTTACTTCAGCCCCTGGAGAATAGAAGAAACCAGCACTGGAAGGTGCTGCTAGAAAAAAGGGCAATGAAAATACAGTGATATAATAAGCACCTTTAAAAAAGTGTAGTAGTCTTTTTTTTTTTTTTTTCTTAAGGCGAGAAAAAACTTTCTCTCTACCTTAACGTCGCTGGTAGAAAAAAGGGCAATGAAATACAGTGATATCATAAGCACCTCTAAAAAGGTGTAGTAGTCTTTTTTTTTTTTTAAGGCGAGGAAAAACTTTCTCTCTACCTTAACGTCCGTGGCTGGGGCCTGTGAATTAAACTCATAAAAGACAGATTAACAGGAGAAAAAGCATACAGACTTGTAAACGACTGAACTAAAAACCAGAAGAAAAAAAAACACAACAAAATGGTCAAGTTTATAAAAGAAAATTTAATTGATATTTTAAATTTTACTTCCATGGGGGCTACACAGGAAAGAAGAGAAAAGTCAAAAGAAGCAGGAAGACTTGGAAGCTTATGTACCGTTTTGACAAAGAGTGATAAATTGTGAAGTAAATAGGCAAAGGGAAGGGGGGTGGGCTTCTAGAGGGGGTGAGTCGTGGAAAAGTAAATATATGGGGAAACTGACGGAAAATAAGGGTTATGTTAGGTAAGGGTTTTTTAATGTAGGCTCATCTCAGTGCCATCTGTTTCCAGTGATGAGGACCAGAGGGGACACCTTTACGAAGGAAAATCTATGCCGTTCTTCCTGCATCTATTGCTTCTCAATTGCCTTCAACTCAAAATAATCTTTATGCCGAAGTGGCATATTTTAGGATGGCATATTATGACCCCTTAATATTCTAAGAAGCAATCAGAGTTCAGTTGCTTCTGTAAAAGTATTCGTTTCCAACCTGTGTTCTGTGGAGCTAGCTCCCTAAGGTGTCTTATTTTTTTTTTTTTTAAAGTTCTATGGTCAAATAAGTTAGAGAAATGCTGAGTTAAACATGATTTCTTTTTCTAGCAGAAATTCTCAGAACGTTTAATTAACTAACAATACATTGTGATTCGACAAAAGGGAAATAATAATTCATTACGTTTCCTAAACTTATTTGACCGTGGAGCATGATTTTCATAATATGTTCCAAGACAAGTGTTTCCTGTAATACATATTGAGAAATAGTGGGATCCGCCACATTTGTATGTAAGTGCAAAAGTTTAAGTGGCCACTGAAATAAGTATAAGCCAAAAGGGAGAGAGCAACTGAATGAAGCTGCCAAGTGTCAGTCAGCAGTAGCCATGCTGCCTTTGAATCATGCTCTGGGACTGAGCTCCGGTTGGTTCCTAGGAAGAAAAACTAAAGCATCGAAAGCTTCTGGGTCCCACTGAATTGAACCCCTTTCTTGGGCACTAAAGAGCGCCAACGGATGAAGGAAAACGGTCTCATGCGCTCATGTCCATCCGTGGCTCAGTACTGTGCCAGCTGTATTATTCTTAAACATCTATTAACATGATTGCTTCATAATTACAAAGGCTAACTGCCAAGCATTTTTCACAGGAAGCAAGGCAATGCTTGTCTTTCATTGCTCTATTGGCTGGTGCAAAAGGGTCAGCATTTAAAAAAAATCTTTTAGATCTTATTTTGATTGAAGAAACACCTCTAAAAATACCACTTGAGGGGCTTCAAGATAAAAAAGAAAAAGCACATTCAAGGTACAAAACTAAATAACTGCAACAATATAATGATTTGGGGGTAGGGAGTACAAGATTCAGGATGATGGAAGTCATGCCTTCCCTCCTGTTATGCTGTGCTGCCAGAACTCTAGTTCCAGAGACCAGCCTCCATGCCATGCCAGACCTACTCAGGTTCCCAATCAGGGGGCATGATTCTTGATCCTCAAAGGTCAATTCCACCCATGTCCCTTCTTCATCCTCCTCCATGCTCCCTGGAAAGGGGCAGAGCTAAGCACCCACGTCAGAGGATTGGTTGCAAATCCTATATTGTCTCAAAGCTTCAGGGAAAAGGGGAGAGAGAGCGACTAGTATTTACTGAGCACCTAGATGCCAGATGTTTTCATGAACATCATCTCATGAACAAACAAATCTTTTCCTTATTTTGTACATAAAGGAAACTGGGACTTAGACTGGTTATAAAACTACTCCAAGGTCAACCCAAATGCTGATGAGTAAATTAGGTTAAAATTTGAGCCAGGTCTGAGTCCAAGGTCTGTTTTATAATATCATGCTGTCTCCTGATCATAAAACACTTCATTTTATATGGGAGCATAAATGGCCCATTTCTCCCAGGATCTAGCAAAATATCTCAACTTTCATCATCACTTCTAGAGACCTGATAATGTCTAGATCTTGTCACTCATTTGCCCAAGCCAATGAAGCTATTTATTTTCATCTCTGGTAATAAGCTTTCTTAACTCAGCATTTTTCAGGGAAAAAAAAAATCTAAATTCTTGAATTGCTTCATTTCACGCTCATTCTCTGTGCGTGAATCTTTTTGGCTTTTAAAAATAGAGTCCAAATCATTGCGTATTCAGATATGAAACACAGGAAGGAGCAACGGGAACACTAATGTGGTCTCCAGGCGAAGAATACCTGTGTCTGTAGTTACCCTAAATTAAACAGAAAACTCTCAGATTTATAAATAAACCAAATACTATCCTAGGCCTGTAGACTTGGATTCTACCCTTCTCTTCACAGTTACTACCCTGGCTAAGAACATTTGATTCAGCCTCATTATTTAAAACTAGAGGCCTGGCGCATGAAATTCATGCGTGGGTATGGTCCCCAGGCCCAGCCTGCGATCAAGGCCATCTTCCCCAGCTGCCCGCAGCCGGCCCTGTCCCAACGCCACCCATCCCCAGTTCCCCGTTTGCCATTGTGTGATCGGTGCCTGACGGCTGGGGGAAGGGACCGAGAGGTTGGCTGTTCCTGCCTGCTGGCCCACCCCACCCCCGCCACGGGTGGCCATCAGGCAATTGGAGCCTGCTGGCTGAGGAAAGAGACTAAGAGGTGGTCAGTGTGCCTCATAGTGACCGGTCCAGAGGTAGTTCTGGTCGTTCTGCTGTTAGGGTCAATTTGTATATTACCCTTTTATTATATAGGATAGAGGCCTGGTGCACGGGTGGGGGCAGGCTGGCCTGCCCTGAAGGGGGCCTCAGATCGGGGTGGGGGATCCCTGCTGGGGGGCAGGGCTGGCCAGGGTGAGGGGCCTCAGGGTTTGCAGGCTGGCCTCACCCCCAATAAAGGTGGGGGTCCCCCCTGGGGGCAGGGAAAAAAGCCTGGGTTTGGGGCCCCTAATCGAGGTGGCAGTGCCCGCTGGGGAGTGGGGCCGGCCTGGGCGAGGGGCCACGGGCACTTTGCAGGCCGGCCACACCCCTGGCTTTGTCAGGAAGGATGTCCAGAAGACGCCCAGTCTATCCCGTTTAATTAGCATATAACCCTTTTATTAGTATAGACTAGAGGCCTGGTGCACGACATTTGTGCACTGAGGGGGAGGGTCCCTCAGCCCAGCCTGCGCCCTCTCAGGAAGCGGGCCTAAGCTGGCAGGTGGACATCCCCCGAGGGGTCCTTAGGGCTGCCACGGAGGTGGGAGAGGCTCCCACCACTGCCACTGTGCTCACCAGCCAGAAGCCGGGCTCCCTGCTCCTTAGTGCTGTCTCGGAGGTGGGAGAGGCTCCCACCACCGCTGTGCTCACCAGCTGTGAGCCTGGCTTCTGGCTGAGCAGTGCTCCCCCTGTGGGAGCACACCAACCACCAGGGGGCAGCTCCTGCATTAAGCATCTGCCCCCCGGTGGTCAGTGCACATCATAGTGACCAGTGGTTCTGCTGTTCGGTCGATTTGCATATTAGCCTTTTATTATATATGATGATGATAAGAGTTGTTCTCTTAAGTTCCTTAAAAATTCTATAGTTAACTGCAACTCATTGGCCTTTCCAGAGATAACACAATCTGAAATAATTCAAATCCCACCACCACAGTCCTTTTTAAAATTTCTTTGACAAATGCAAAGGACATACCCATCTTCCAGTTAAATTTCCTTTTGAGTCCGACAAGAAATCAAGAAACAAAGAAAAAGGTATAGTGATCCAGCTAGACCGTGATTTATAGTGTTTGGAAAACAGTTTACTTAATGAGGAAGTAGCATAAAAGTTTGCTTATCTTGGTCACAGGTATTATAATTCATATCCCTAAAGGGTAGAGAGAAAAATCATTCTTTTCCAGGAAAGACAATCCTATATAATAAGAGGCTAATATGCAAATTGTCCCGACTGAGAGACAGACCTGGAATTCAACTGGATGGGGCTGGCCAACTGCCCACGGCCCCTCTCCCAGCCAGCACTGCCCCCGATTGCCCCCCCCCCAACCCTGATTGCGGCTCCTCCCCCTGGTCAGTCTGGCCCAATTGGCCCTGATCAGGGCGGGCCGGCCAGACCCCACCTGTGCACAAATTCATGCACTGGGCCTCTAGTAATACCATAAAGCTCCTTCCCTCTTGCTTAGCCTGATACTATATATTCACCTGATACTATATGTTTACAATGAAAATAATTCTGCGGGTGCAGGTCCTCACACAGATGCCCGCAACCCCTGCTTTCAAAATCTTATACTCAGAGACAACACCTAACAGGCTACCTGGCTCAATCCTTACTGGATAGCAGACAACCTACCTTCCTAGGGCAGTTTCCTCATCATTTCATGCCCCTCATCAGCCCACCACTTCCATTTCCCTTCCTCACCCACATTTACACAAGAGTTCTGAGGCATGAGACACTTGTGAGAGTGAATCACATCCACTACCCCCTGGTAGAGCTGAACAAGCACTAGTCACTCAAAAATACCCTTCCCTGGCCTGATTCCTGGATTTAATTTCCTAATGAAGTGATCATTCCTTCAAGATGGAGGATCAGAAGCATTTCAATGGCTGTGTGTAGTTCTCATTTACTTCATCAAAGGTTCTTTGGACATGGTCAAGCCTACAGGTACATGTAGTAGAGGAGATACTTTGGGGGAAATGCCTCCTTTAGCCACTCTAGCAGATGTCAAAATGGGGGAGAGAAGGAGTGGGCAATTTCTCTCTCCACATATACAAATATTCACCCTTTCTGGCCACCCATGCAGGGACCTTATAAGCAGAAGTCCTTGTCAGGAAACTTTAGTCACTCTCAGGTAACTCTACCTTCAAGATCATCCTTCTACCTCATTCATGTGAGGACAGCACAGTACTCTCAGTACAGTGCTTCTCAAACTACAAAGTGCTTATGAATCCCCTGGGGACTTGGTGGAAATGCAGATTCAAATTTAATAAGTGTGGGGTAGACTCTAGTGCAGGGGTGGGCAAACTTTTTGACTCGAGGGCCACAATGGGTTCTTAAACTGGACCGGAGGGCCGGAACAAAAGCATGGATGGAGTGTTTGTGTGAACTAATATAAATTCAAAGTAAACATCATTACATAAAAGGGTACGGTCTTTTTTTTTTTTAGTTTTATTCATTTCAAACGGGCCGGATCCGGCCCGTGGGCCGTAGTTTGCCCACGGCTGCTCTAGTGCCTACATTTCTAACATGCCTTCAATGGACACTGATGCTGCCGATTGCAAACCACGCTGGAGTAGCAAGGTCCGCGTCTCTTTCCTCTCCCAGAACTGGAGCACATTATACCTTAAGGTCTCTTTGTGGCTGGTTATCCACCAAAAGAACTAAGCCAGGCAGGAGACACAGAACCTTGGCATGCTGCTCTCACTGCCCAGACTCCCGGCCTTCCTTCCTGCCCAGGTGGAGTTGCCACATTCTTGCTTAGCTAAATGACCAACCTGGCTCAGCCTCCCCAGCCTTATCTGATGCCACTCTGCCAGCAACTCAAACATCCGGAGCACCTGCTCTAGGACACATTCCTGGGCCCTCACCTGAGATTCTCATTCATTAGGTTGGGAGTGGCCCCAAGAAGAAACAGACACTCTAGGTCAGTGGTTCTCAACCTTCTGGCCCTTTAAATACAGTTCCTCATGTTGTGACCCAACCATAAAATTATTTTCGTTGCTACTTCATAACTGAAATGTTGCTACTGTTCTGAATCATAATTTGATATGCAGGATGGTCTTAGGCGGCCCCTGAGAAAGGGTCGTTCAACCTCCAAAGGGGTCGCGACCCACAGGTTGAGAACCGCTGCTCTAGGTGATTCTGATCCATTAACAAATTTTGGGGAAGGAAATACATGTAACCTCTTCAATGGATTTGAGAAACCTGTAAGCTATGGTTGTTAATGCCTTTACGTCAAGGCAGAATGGTTAAAAACAAAACAAAACAAGTTGAGCATTTCATTCTATGATAGAACTATTTCCCCCCGAATTTCAACACTTGCTTAGGGGCATTTATGATTATTTCCAGTGCAATCTGTCTTTTTCTTTTTTATAGAAGTTCACTAAAAGTGTAAAATATGTCCTATATATCCTATAGAAAATTCTTTTAATGTAGGTATGATTAAAGATACACTCAATTAATGAGAAAAGTATCAAAGGAATGATTATTTGCCCCCCTGATTGAACTGAAATGGAGTTGTTCATATACATACAATTTAAAAAATATATCCAAGAAGAACAAACACTGATATCAGTTAAAAAAAATAAGGACTGAACATTATTACCTTTAAAATGGCAAAGGCAGATACAAAATACAAAAAGTAACTTTACAGATGAAATGTCCTCCCTAAGAAAGGCTAGCATTGGCTATTTAGTCTCTGGGGCAGATGTGGCATCTTGCTGGGTGCCAGCCTCTGTGGGCACAGCCTTGGGGCCAGCCGCAGCAGCAGTGACTTCGGAGACAGCGGAGGTGGCTTCTGGACTGGAACCAGTCCCTGCCCGACCAGGGGTGGCCTCCATCTCACCGGGGGTGGCCTCAGTCTGAGAGGCTAACAGTTCGTGACTGACGCTGGCATCTGTTAGACAGGGGATGTCAGCCTGAGTAGGCATGCCCTCTTCTTCTGTTTCCATTTCTGTTTCCTGACTTTGAACTTCCTCATTTTCTTCTACCATAGCAGGTGGTAACTGCAATAAAGTCTAATAAAAAAATAAAGAAAAGGAAAATATCAGTATAAATGAACTCAAGTAAAAAGAATTGGCTTATAAAGTTAAGCTCTCACATTAACATTATTATCTTCCTAATAAATACTGTTCGCTCTTAAGAGTTCTCCAGAACAATGCTGGCTATTTCATTTTACAGATGAAACAGCTCTGATGACAATGGCCTACGTTTTGCTGAATATGCCAACACGGATATCACAAATGATTAAAATACATATTAATTCTCTAGAGAGGAAAATAATATGAAAACCTATTAGATTTTTTAGCAAAGGGATTTGCTGTCACACTTCTGGAAAAACAGTGGCTGATTAGGACTGATTAACACACCGAGTCGAGAAGGGCCAACTTTGATCAAGGAGCCCTGTGAGGGGCAGGGAGAAACCAAGCCCTGGGACAAAGCCATGGCAGGGAGGGGGGAGGTACCAGACTCTGTTCCACCCAAACACTGGAGCAGCTCTAGATGCTGAGCCTGGTTGCTGGAACAGGTGGGAAAGGGGTTAGTGAAAAATGAGAGGGCTTACCAAGAGGCATGAGGACACTATGGGGGATAATAAATATGTTCATTATCTTGACTGTGACGATGGTTTCACAGGTATATACATGTGTCAGAACATCATACTGTATACTTTAAGTAAGTGGCTTTTGTTGCATGCTAAATTATATCTACATAAAGATGTTTTGAAAGTATGGATGTTACATGAATAATAACAACCCATTTTGGTTTAGTTGGTTTTCTACAAGGAATCATATATTTAAAGATTTATTCTGAGGTGAAAGGAATACAGTCAATAATACTGTGATAATGCTGCACAGTGATTCCTAAATTAGTGGGGTGATCACATTGTAAGGTATAAGAATGCGAAATCACTATATTGTACATCTGAAACTAATATAACTAATATAATATTATAAACCAGCTACTTAATTTTTTTTAAAAAAATGATATATTCTGCAACAGATAATATTCTTTAGTAAGAAGAAAACTAAGAGTTAGTGCTGAGAAAACTCACCTGATGATAGTGATGGGTGGTCTGTATCAGGTGCATATACATGTTGTACACAAAGTTTGCCATTTGGGGCATATTCTTTATTACCTGTACTTCATGAGATGGCCTCTCTCCATTCTAGAAAAGGCAAAAAGGAAGTTAAATATAGTGAAAAACACTAAAAGCTAGCATTCCAATAGGAGCCCATCTCTCTGCTTTATGTGAAAGCACTATTGGGTTTAGAGGACATAAAGATGTAAGTGTGAGAATCAAATAAAGAAGGAAAAAGAGTGATTCCATTTAAATGTAGAAAATGTAGAGATCAGGAGGGAGCCAAGAGTCACTAGCTTTTAATACAATTTTCAGGCTGGTAAGTGCAATATGAGTTTTGGTCCACTAACTAATGTAGAAGAAAAAGAGAGAGCAATCATTTGGAGAGAAAAATCACCAAAGTCTAAAGTAATGGCTCCTCATACTGTATATGCTCCAAAGGCAATTCTCAAGATTATTCTGAAAGAAAATGTTAAAACTGTTCTTCCTACTGATGTTTTTCTAAAAAATAAGAAGCTAACATTTACAATGAGAAGCTAACAATATCTAGACTGTCAGTCATGAAGGTGAACATTCAGAAGGAATTTTTACTAATAAAGAATGCATATACAGTAAGAGATGTTGGCAAACAGTAGTCTAAAGTGTCAGCATTGTGTATCTATCAGGAGCATCTGGGGGAGAATGTTCAATCAGAGGCCTGGGCCTGGCCCCAGAGATGTTCATTCAGTGTCTGAGATAGAATGAGGTGCTTCAAGTGGAGTAGTATTACCACAATCTCAGAAACAATGCTTTCTATTTGTTCAGGAAAGTACAAAATTTGCACTTCTTGCTAAGCCATACTAGAATAAAGATGAACAACTTTCCTATTTATAATCAATCATATAAAGTCTCCCCTTTCTTACTACAGGAAAAATTCAGAAAACCATAAAGGTAAAAAACTTTTATCAAGAGATAAATAAATAGAAGTGACTTAAATAAAAGTGGCAAATCATTTAAGGCACATAAAATTAGAAATACTCAGTACATCAAGTAGCATTCCCAGAATTCGGCAGGGTGGCAGGCTCGCATGTCAGCAGGTGTTCTTTTGCTAATGGTCACTTTCTGCAATGGTCACAGCATGTGTGTGCAGAGGCTCCCATGCTGCTACAACCACAACACTGCCTTCAAAACAGGAGGGTTTTTTGTTTTGATCCGTTTGCTTATTTTCAGGTGGCTTTGCTGGGGAGCTGCCTCTTCTGGGAGGCAGTGCTAGCTGCTCAGTCCTCACTGCCCATCCCCACAGCCTCTTGAGCAGAGCATGGGGAGATGCTATCTGACCTCAGGCCCCAGGCTTGAATCCATGGTGCTGTGCAAAGCACCAGTTTCTACACTTCTGCTCATTCATATTGCCTGAACTGCACTCCCAGTTTTCACCAGGTGTGTCCCTGCAGCCCTTGGGATTCAAAGCACCTGGGGAATCCTTTCAACCCCAAGACACAGAGGCTCTGCCCCAGACCTCTTGTCAGGAATCTCTGCTTAATCGTTAGCCCACAACAGATGGAGAACCTCAGCGCTACAGGATTGTGTCCAAACTTCAGAGATTGACTCTCAAGGCTTTACATGACCCCACCCCCATCATCTCTCTCCACCGGTTTCTCCAATTCCTCTACAGCAGCATTTCTTTACCTTTTTGGAAGGTACTTAGCATTATTATAAAACAAACACACAGAATTTAATCTTGTTTTTTTCCCTAAGAGGGAAGAAAAATGTACTGTAAACATTTAAAAGTTTTGTTTAAATTCCAATGGATCTCCAAGACATTTCATTAAATGAAATGGCAAAGCCCAAGTCTATATAGTATGCTTACCTCCATGTAAGAAAGAAAATAAACAGGTATCTGTTCCTTTGTGCCAAGGTAATATATAAAGAATAAACCAAAAACTAAAGAGATTGCTTTTATGGGGGAGAGGAGAGGAAAGGGAAGAAAGAAGGAGGGAGAGGAAACCGAAAGCAGGGATGAATGAGGAGGGAGTGGTATTTCTCTGAGTATAACTGTTTGTTAAGTATACGTGTATATGCTGCTCCCTCCCACATTTTCCCAGAATGTAAGTTTCTTAAGTCTTCTCCAAGAGCTAAATTATTTATTACTCTGTTAAGTTCTTCTTACAAAGCTACACAGTGACTATGAACATGGACTCTGGAGTCAGCCTGCCTGGGTTTTCAAATCTCGAATTCTTCATCCACTAGATGCACGGCCAAACTACTTCTCTAATCCTCAATTTCCTCATGCGTAAAATTGGGTTAATAAGAAAACCTCCTGAGCAGGGCTGTTACTGAGATGAAATAAAATAATGTACATAAAGAACTAATTGCTTGATACATGATGAGTACTCAATAAATGCTGGCATATATTATTTTTATATAGAAAATCTAATTTAGTTCCTTAATGCAAGCAACATTCTTAAATCAGTACGTAATTGGAAGATCTGTCTGATCATGTTCCTACCTAATGTAATCATCCATAAGAGATTACAGCTCAATAGAATGAAGAAGCCCTACCTTTCTACAGGTTGGGAAAGGTTCCGTTGGAATTATATGCAA